CGGGCAGCATACCAACTTTTATTTCAAAAACAAAGAACTGTTCTCGTCAGTCCTAATCAGTTATGGGCAGCAATGAACTTTAGTAGGAAGATGAGAATGTGAGCAGTTGAAGGCGTAAACGTTGAGAAACTACTACAGATTACGCAAAACAATGAGTTCCCAGATCAGTCATACCTTCAAATACAAACTTTGAAAGAGCGGGTTCTACAGAACAACGTTTTAGAATACTGCCCTAGAATCCCCCCCCCCCTCGCACAAACCCTTTGAGAAAAAGCAGCCCTATGGAACACCTAGACCTGTTTACAAAAGGAAGTGCTCTATGGAATGCATGTAGACCGATATTCCGAGAAATAGCTGTACTACTAACCCCTACAGACCATAATTAAAAAAGTGCCCTATGAGGAGCCCGCAGCCGTCACTGTAAGGAACTGCCTACGAAAATACACAATCTGCACTCCCTAGCAGCTCCCTACGGATTATCTGCTCTATGAAAAGCCAAAAACCAGAATACTGAGAAAAAATAAAGGCCCACCAGCTGCTTAAAGACTCATAGAACTTCCCTGCGGGCGTTCACAAACCGATTTCGAGAAAGAGCAAACTGTCTTCGTAAACATCATCGACTTTTTAAACGCCATAGACAACCATGGTTACTTAGGCATACTTTGCCATACTTGATCCACTTGATCCGCTTGATCCGCTTGATCCGCTTCGTGCAGAACGCGTGCAAAACGCGCGCACACAGCAGTCTGTCACTTGGCGCCGCGTAGGTAAAGAGGAATTTTGTATGGTTACGGCAAATACGTTGTACGCGACGCCAAATGACAGATTAGTGATGCGCGTTTTGCACGAAGCGGATCAAGCGCATCAAGCGGATCAAGTATGGCGGGTGCCTTAGGAGGAAGATGTGAACAGATTACAACATTTACGTGAACTGTAAGCATCACTACAGCATGTCGAAAACCAAACTGGCGGGGCGCCAGTGCAAAAATCGAAACAATAGTTTGATATCCGTCACACCCGCAGAGTTCGAACTTGCGAAAGAGGGGAGGGGGGGGGGTATGTTAGCAACCTTACGAGAGTGTCGGCACCTCCCCAAACCATGGCCTTTTTGCACTTAGTAGTCGCAGCCCCTTCGAAAATATTCCACGAGGAGGGACGATGCTCACCCCCCTACAAAAACACGCTAGCCTTGTTGACAAATTTGGACCCTCCGCACCCTCCGCAATCACTCGCCTCAGTCTGCAACTTGTCAACATGTAAGTGCAAAACCTTGCCATTCTTTTTTATAGAATGATTAGTAGTCGCAGCCCCTTCAAAAACATCCCACGAGGAGGGACGATGCTCACCCCCCCCCCCCTACAAAAACACGCTAGCCTTGTTGACAAATTTGGATCCTCCGCACCCTCCGCAATCACTAGCCTCAGTCTGCAACTTGTCAACATGTAAGTGCAAAACCTTGCCATTCTTTATTATAGAATGATCATGGTCCGAAACCTCTGCAAAAGAGTGTGATGTCACTCACTGTCAACAACTATTCCTCCGCAACGCTGAAAGGGTGCGAGTTATATAGTTTTGCCAAAAAACAATAATATTCACCTCTTTAACTCGCTAGCTATCAAAACGATAAATGTTTTTTCTTCTCTCGAGCTGCTCATTTACAGTCAGTATCTACCTTTGTGGGATGAAGTGGGAAGAGTTTCATGCTTTTTTGTTAGCAGTATCTATGCAGCTTTTCCCTTGCTACAACTTTCCGTGACTTATAATCGCGTAATTGCACTTTTCTTCCCTCTTCAATACGACAAACTGTGCACAGTCAAAGGGCATGGGTAAGACTTTTAAGAAAGTTGCGTAATATATAACAAATAAATTTCAGGTTTGCATAACAGCAGAATTGTCTTATGGCATCTACTTCATCATTCATCAGCTTGCTCGTAAGTAGTATCCATTGACGGAATGCTGTTACTCAACATCGGACATGGAATTTAGTTGGATGTCGTTTTGTTTACAACCCTAAAATGCTAACTTGGAAATATCGTGATTGTTTATACGAAGATAAAAGATAACATTTCATATATCCTATATTGACAATGACGGGAGTTGTCTTACTGCTAAATCTGACTGTTGCTTCTCGACTTATGTTCATGGTATGTGTACTGCTATGTGGATGACGTAACTTGAATACTTGCAATGCCGCCATGCTGCTGCACTTCCTTGAAAATTTGAGAAATATCACAGTGCAGACTTTCTTTAAATTACATAGTTCCCTGTCTATTTTTCACCTCGTTTTCCGAGGCTATGATTCTGCTATGATAACTCATGACTTGGTTTTGAGATTGAGAGGGTACAAATCTAGTTTATGGTTTTATCAACTGAAGCACATCTCTGCGCATACGAAATTTTGTACGTGTGCTTGAGCCGAAATTTTATTAGTCCGTAAAGTCAAATCGAGCTTTTAATACTTTTATATTACTAATATTTAACAACAGGAAAACTGAACTACACCCCTTGGGCAAAAGCAGACAAGTTGGGGCATCAAATGGTTCCAAAAATAGAAGAGACATACAACGATGTAGGCTTTGTGCTGCAGCTTCCGCTGTTAGCATTCTCGCTTTCAAATCCTTTTCGACGAACGGCACTGCTAAATGAATGTATCAAGATGAACGAAAAGAAATGGGACATTGTTTTAACTGCACACTTCTCAAAAAAAATATTAGGTTGTTGCAAAAATAATGTCCGTTTTGCAAAGTTTTACTTTGAAAGACTAGCTTTGTCCAGTCTTCATATTTTTGAGTGCAATCAAGACCATCAGAAGCAGTAAACTTTTGTCTAACGCGCACCTGCATATACTGATACCGCAAATGAGAAGGAAACCATGCGTCAAAAAACCAAAAGTTTTTCTTTTGAAAACCTCGTCTCTTTGAAAGATTACCACTCCCCTCAAGTTTTGCTCCTATGGCTGCTGATCAGCTTGTTTTGTAGACGCAAGCCAGTAGTAGACGTTTGTTTAGAAAAAAACCTCAACGAAGGGGACCTGCGAAAAGAAAAGACAAAAAATTCAAAATTGTTCACTTTTTTGAGCCTATTTGTGATAAGCCAGAAGGCCCCAAACTATAAGAAATTGAAATTCTTCATGCGGTAAATAGCTTAATTTTTTTGCAAAAATTGTAGGCAGTATATCAGTATGTCCTGACCTCAAGCATACAGAAATGAGCGAAGCTTCGGCGATTGCCCTAATTATGAGAAACTTTGGCCCCATAGAATGCCACCGGCAAGTATCTATTTTGGTACGTCGATTTTTCGGCCCGGTTTTTTCAAAAAGTATACTTAAATATGCTTTAGGTAAACATGCTCAACAAATGTAGTAGCTATGTTTCAAAAAAAAATCGTTCATTTGCGCTTGAATTGTGGCCAGGGAAGTTGAAGCAATGAAATTTCTATTTTGAGTGCAGCTGTGCGAGATGCTGGCAAAATTCTCACAGATGATGTAGACGCTTAATTTTACTACTGTTAGAAAGTACATGAAGAAGGCTTTCCAATGATATGCAGAAACTTTATCTAAAAGAAAGTTTTGAAGGAAAAAAGTTGCTCGGAATGTAGGCTTGGAAAAACGGACATTATTTTTGCAACAACCTAATAGCTGATCAGACGCTCTAATTTTGATGGATGTTAGAACATATCAATCATTCTCAATCATTACTGCATGGGGTCATTTAAATGTCTAGTAATTCTTATTTTTGCTGAAATACAAAGTCAATCACATCTACAAATCATGGACTATAAGCAGTAACCGCGCAGTAAAACACGGAAGACCATCCAAGGTACCACTGCTGCAGTGAGTGAGGTGAAAATCACCAAACCTATGAAGGCTCGGTAATGCAGAGTTTATAGTTAGGAGCTAAGGTCAGTTGTTTCAAGGCCGATAGACCGATACGCTTGTAATTTCCTTCTGTACAAGTAAACGCATATTTTTTGGCTACGTCTGATAGCGCGCTATAGGCTCTATCCATCCATATGCAGTTTGTTAAAGCTTTCGTCCGTTTTTGGAAAATTTTAGCTAGAGCACAGCTTTTCGATCTTTCAATGCTCCAAAAATCTCTTTTTTCAAGTTTTTTGATTTTTTACTTGAAAACGAGAAGGATTTCCAAACGCTCGATTTACCGTTGAAAAAAAGTTTGAAGAGCTGTTTTGGAGAGCAAGTCATTTGCATGATTTTGGTTTAGCAGCGCAGGACGAGATGCTCAAAAAACGTTGTCCGCCTTCTTCGAGGCCCCACGCCAAGTATTGCGAGAGAGGTGCGTTAGAGCGTTACCAGAATGATAGGCGAAGGTCGCTTATGTGAGTGACGTTTGAGCTGTAGCTGCTTATGCTATTTGAAACAAAAAATTCTGAAATGTCATAAAAATCGAACTGTCTTATTATTTTCCGTTCAGCCTAATACAGTACCCACACTAATTATTCGATAGAAAACGCAAAAACTGACGATCCGCGTTTTTTTCGTTTTTTCTTCATAACTTCAGTATTATCGATGCTTTTCTGGAGTTTTCTGCACCATTCGAATCTATTTGAAATACTCTATTGAACAGTGCTAAGTTTGCCCAACATGGGCAATATCACGCAAATCACGCGTACTACGCAGCCCCACAATTCCAATTCCTTTCAGGTTACATCACATATGAATCGGAAATAGCTTTAGCTCGATCGTCAAGGCAGATCTTGTGATATACTACACTGAATATGCTTTTTATTCCAGCGCATTGCTGAAAAGTTCACGTGCTACTCACATTTTCCATGCAAATTCCAAATTTGCCAACTGAACGCTTATAAAACAAGTATTGGCAAAATTTTATTGCTAAATCTTTGTTGGCAACATTGAACCACTTCAGTAAGATTATACTGAGTGAAAATGCCTCTGATCAGCTGAGTTACGATAGATATAATTAGTTACAAGATAATGCCAGATAGAGAGGTCAAAGATACACGTGAGTTTGCCTACGCAAAGCCCTCTGTTTAGTAACTGAGAAGTTAACAAAGTCCAAATGACGCTGAGGATTCATGAAAAAAGCTCATTCAAAACACCTTACATCATGACAAAGAATTACAAGGTTTCATTTATGTACATGTAACCTCTTATCCTGCTAACGATGGATGACGCTGGGACAGACAAGTGACTGCATGATGAGACAGAAAGAATTGAGGTGCAGAAGGCGTGGGAGCGTTGAAATGGGAGGACACAACGGGGAACGCGGCACCGCATCACTCAAGACGACGTCATTTCGACTACTGAATAGAATGTTTATATTTGTATATAATTCGCACATAAAACAATTGAGAGTCACAAGCATCATGTCACTCCTCGAAACAAACAAAAACACCGACTCACTTGAAAGACACTGTGGTCTGAACGATCTCTTTACCACCCCAAAGTGACAACCATCTGAAATGAACAGTTTTGAGGTGTTACAAAGAACGTACAAAAACCGACTACCTTTGTAAAACGCAGTATGAGAAGGCCTTTAGCTCTACGAGCGCTGTTTTTAAATCCATAAGTGATCGATGATGATATCGACAATTTCGACATGGACTTGAGCGAAACGGCGAGATAATACTAAAATCACGTGTATTCAATTAGAAATGCTTAGCCAACAGCCGCAGCAGTGTGTGTTGCCGCCGCTACGATACAGGGCTTTACAACCTGAGTGTCCCACCCGCCCCGCTAGGACGCCACGCTTAGGTCCGCGCAGCGTTCGTGGCGCTGGCTGCGCATCGACTGAAGCTTGGCGAAATCCGGGCGATACGCAGCAAACGCCGCGCGCGGCCTGAGCGAGGCGGCCGCGTTGGAGGAGCCGCGCAAGCGAAACTTGCGACTCTCAGGTTGAAAAGCCCTGTACATTATGGAAATGCCCTAAACAGCATTGAAATCGTGCATTGCTTAAAGGCACCGTCCACCCAAAATGAGGGTTGATGAGATTTCGGTGCATACTAGTGTGGGGGTCCACACTAGTATGCACCGAAATCTCATCAACCCTCATTTGGGTGGACGGTGCCTTTAAAACCAAATATCTCCTTTCTTTATTATGCATACGAAGAACCACACACAAGAGTAACTTAAAAAGCTGAAGCTCTTTTCGCTGCTATCAGTTCTTTCCGCAGTTGCCATACGGTTTCGACATTCGCAGTGAAAAGAGCGACGATGATATAGTGAAGATAACAATGAGAGTCTATAGAAAAGAACAAATCCGAAACTGGTCTCTGCACTCAGATCAACTAATGACAAAGTTTACATTACTGAACCTTTTTTACTCACCATTCATTCCTTTCACGCAATTCGAAAAACCAGACTACGACGATGTGCGCTTTTGATCAGCAATGCTTGGTGAGATCCAACGCTGGTGACATCGGGAAGATCTTTGTTGGGCGTAATCTAAGTGATAACGCAGATGCCATTGTAAACCTTATGCTGTATCGTTTTCCATAAATCAACGATAGTTTAAAAAAGAATGCCACTGAACAAAAACAATCTAAAATGGGAAGAGCTGTGAACTCAAGGAAGTTTATACGTTGTGGGACCCGCCTACAAGTTAGTCAACCATAGATGATATGAAGGAATCGCTGAAGTGTCCATTAGGAGTACAGTAGGAGCCTACATCCCAAGTATGTACAAACAAAGGGTCATGATAATAAAAGAGAAAAAGAAAAGCCGATACGGTAACAATGAAATATCGCTAACCGACCATACATGGAAAGATCTTGAAACTTTTCAAGTTCAGCATGACTTCTAAAACTCAATCCGCTTAAAACGTTAGTCACATAAGCGGAAACCTTAAAAAAAGATTCATTGATGTCCATGCTCTTACACTTGAATCTTACAGACAAAGATGCTCAATAAACTCACCTTGTGGCTTCAAATTCGATCAGGACCGTTGTCATCAATCTGCGGGACTAAGACTCGCGCTAAACCACGCTGACAGGTCTGCAGTACGGAATAAGCGACACTAAGGACCAAAAATCCTTACAGGTAAGTACCTACCTCGAGGTTACATGTAGTACTGAGCAAAATTTGAAGAGTTCAAGTTACGATGCAAAATGGCTAAGTGAATAAACTTGAGACGAGTAAATTTGAGATAATCTAAATGAGAACAATTGAGCGCAGAAATAGACTTATTAACAGGTCTTCCATAAGATAGATATGCAAACCTGATATAAGTAGCTAGAAGTATAGGAACAGCTATTCCTTGACATTGCGACCACCCTAAGCAATCACTTTCTCCATTCTCCGCGGGATTCCTTTGATATACTGCGCACACACTTCAGGAGTTAGCGATTTCGAGAAAGTGATAACGCATCTCTCAGCTGTTGCAGAGTCTTTACGCGTTCTCGTCTGGAATTGACTTATTGTCGAGGGTAGCATTTCCAGTTCTGCTTAAAATTACCTGATATGACCTTTCATTGAACCCCAGATAAGTTCAATGGGATTGAGATCGGGTGACTCTGGAGGCCACTCGACAACATCGACTTTCCACGACTTCAGCTTCTCCAGGGTATATGAGCTCTTATGCGAAGGCGCGTTGTCCTGCACCAACTTCCCATAGCCTTTAAGTAGAGTCTTTTTGAGGAGACAAAGATGTAAGACAGCTGCCTTACCATGGTACGCATCGTTGTTAAAGCGGAGAAGACATCGTTCCAGGATCTTGCAGTACTTCTCGCCATCGAGCCTGATCTCACCAGGGAAGATCGCCAATTCAGTGGCACCTCTCATAGAGATTCCGCCCCAAAGGTGGAGCTTTGCAGGGTGTTTCGCCCTGGATTTCAATCGCGAGAAATAATCCCCCTTCTTGACGTAGCAGTACTTGACAACGGAATCAACTGAAATGTGTGGAATGTGATATGGCTGCGCAGTAATGAAACTTACCTTGCACAGTAGATTCATCCGTAAATATCCACTTATCAAAATCTTCGTTGCAATCGAGCATTCTTTCGCAGAAAGTTACCTTTTCTCCTTGTTTACATCGCGTATGACATGACAATATTTCGTCGTAGCTCTAACGAATAATTGAGCGGGACTAACCCCGATACCGCGTTCCAAAAGGCGGTCAAGAATAGACCTGACCGTAGCCGAATTGTTAGCCTTGTATGTGTCCGCTAGTATGCTCTTGATTGTGCTTATGTGAGGAGCAAGTGAGCGGAATATTTCTTTTCCTTCGCAGGAAGGTTGCGCGAGTTAGACTCTTGCAAAAACTTCCGCACAAGATAGTAGGTGATTTCCGGGTTGTTTTTTTGCAGCTCCTTATGAATGGCAGTTATAGACTTTCCTTCCCTGTGCATCGGGAGAATGACATTACTGTAGCAGACTAGAGTCATAGTTGCGGAAGATATAGAGCTTAACCCGAAGTGGACTTTTGCATACTCCGAATTGTACCTCGTGGCCACGCGCGATTCAGCGGAGATGCTTCTCTGCTCTCTTCAAAGCTACTGTTCGTTTCCATCTGAAGAAAAATATCAAAAATTAGTGTTTCCAGATATTTGGAGCTTCAGAATATGAAGCTCCAAATATCTGGTTCTGCTTTCTTTTGAAACTGTGATCCCCTCCGTGGCAGAGATATTAATGCGTGCGGCCCCTAGAAAAGTGAAGGGGTAACTGAGCCTTGAGGTAAGTGCTGACGTAGGCTTACATGCCGAGTGGGACTGGGTTGTGTAAAGAGGGAACATAAATGATATAAAGCTGTAATATGAAAATTTTTTCAACGTTTTGATTTTAAAAGCTCATCGAAAAAAAACTTGATTTAAGAAAGCTTTATGTCGCATCAATCGACATATCATTCGAAAGCTTGGAACATGTAGATTTGACGTAAGCCTGTTTTTCTCCAGCTTCTCTATGATTTCAAATATAAAATTTTCATCTAGCTGTAGCATGAGCTGATTTTATTAAATCAATTTGCGCTCCATTTCTGAACGGAGAAGAAAAGCCAGAAAAAAGGGACGGTCTACGTCGAATTCGTTTCGTGAGCTTTCTAACAGTATATAAAATGTTGGATGAAGAAACGTGTGGCTCTTCATAAACGGGGTAAAGATATTTACTATTAGCTTGCTCTTTGCTTTATACTGTCCCTCTCAATGGCTTAACTTTCATGGGTCAAGAGAGCAAAACTCTTTCGGAGCGGAAAAGCTTTATGCACCAACAGTTAATAAGCCACTCGATAACTGAGAGCACGAGAAATCGACGTAGATCGTCTCTTTTTCTGGCTGTTCAATATGTTCCCTTATTTACTATTACTCGGTTGTTACATAAGTCTTGTTGCAACTTGATTTCCTACTTCGATAAGTCATGCACCTCCTATTCTTTACAGGGTTCCAGGGTACCATTTGATAGAGCAAAGCGAGCTGTACAAGATATGTGCAGAAGTTCGCACCAGCTTCGATCCATCGTAAGTTTGCATCCAAAAACTGAGTCGTACTGAAGGCTGAAAAAATCGCGAAAAATCCATATACTTGTTCAAAAAATCCTACAAACTTCCAAGTTGCTGACAAAAATTGCACACTATATCAGACACTCATATGTACCGTGGCTGTATTTCTTCCTCATCTAGAAATCGAGAAAACGAAAATTTTCTTGTTTTTACAAAAACGAAGCTATGTTGTTTCTATTCCTGCAGCTGCATACTACAAGCCCTAGGAAGTATGACCGTATTTCAGCTTTTCAGAAGCCCTAATTTTCGAAAGTTACATAATTTAGCATTCAACATTCAACTGAAAAAAGCTAAAATCGGTATTTTTCAAAACTAGGGCTTCTGGAACGCTGAAAATTTACGGTTATACTTCTTAGGGCTTGTAGTATGCAGCTGCACGAATAGAAACAGCATAGTTTCGTTTTTGTAAAAACAAGAAAATTTTCGTTTTCTCGATATTTAGATGAGGAAAAAATACGAAAACGGTACATATGAGTGTCTGATGTAGTGTGCAATTTTTGTGAGCAAGTTGGAAATTCGTATTTTTTCGAACAAATATATGGATTTTTCACGATTTTTTAAGCCTTCAGTACGACTCAGTTTTTGGGTGCAAAGTTGCGGTGGGCCGGAGCTGGCGCAAACTTTTGCACACTGTCTTGTAGAGTTTGCTTTGCTCTATCGAATGGTACCCTGGAGACCTGTAAAGAATGTGAGATGCTTGACTTATCGCCATAAGAAGTTAAGTGTAACAAGACTCATGTAACAACTTGATATCATGCTCTTCAATGAAAGAAAATAGAATTCGGTTCTTTTCAGTAAACACGCTTCTATCATCGGGCAGACCAGATTCTCTACTCTTGCCTAATTCTTCCTGCAACAATACATACTCATTGAACGATTTGCTTATAGAGAATCAGACGTCCTTCAACTTTTTAGATTTATTTCGCTACCAAAACTGAACCACTCTGAATGAGACAAGAAGTCTCAAGCTTGCGTTTTTTTAGCAAACGCTATAAAAGTGCATTAACTCATGTACTGCATCTACTGATTGAGAAGAAGCAGCAGCTGGCGGTCCCAAACAAAATGGGCTTTATTTATCACAGATGTTTTATTTTGCCGTCATGCCTTGACCGTCTCAACCTCAGGTGAAGGGGGTCATCCTGATGCCGGACAAAAGTCAAGCGGGAAAAGAAATTGCTCTACTATCGCACCCATGGTGTTGACGCCGAATCCTTTATTCTCTATCCTTTCAATATAAAGTCTGAGAACAAAACTAGATAAAATGGTCTAGTTCTGAAACAGCAAGCACAGAACACTTAGGAAGTACGAGAAAATTGCGTGTGGTCCGTAATTTCTGTATTGTACAAATTCCTTGATCTTGGACAAAAAAGCGCAGTCACGAATGCGGTTTCTTTCTTCGTTTTCGTTGGACATCGGACTAATCAAATTTTTTCCTCTGTTCAAGCTTTTTTCCTCTGACAGGAACACCTAATTTTATACCTCAGCACATCAGTTATCATTGTCAATAAATCCTAAATTTGCACCTTCGGTTTACTGTTACCAATGGTAATCACAAACTCAATGTCATGCACAAACTCTAAATCTCTTTAACTATTCATGTCCGGGACCTTTCGCACTTTGCACAAAATGTCCATGTCCGATTATCCTCCTATAGATGTCGGTTGTACAAGTATATGTTGTGGACTGCTTCTGATAATCGTAAGTTGCCTGGGAGTGTAGGCTTACATACTTTGGTTCCCAGTTAGCTGAAGAACATTTATGTATTCCTGTGATTGGTAAACCCTTTCTGCCGTTGTGGCAGCGATTACAAGGAAAACTGAAAACTATGGCTCTCATCGAATTTTATTGATGAAAGTGCTTGGCGCTAACGTTACGCATGGCTGAAACAGAATGCTCCGTATTTTAAATGTCCGACTTTTTTGATGAGCTATGAGGCCGCATGAAAACATGTCTTTCGAGTGTTTTAGAAATACAATACAACCCAGAGATTATGCAAAGTCCGTCAATGTCGCGTCATTCAGCGGCATTTCGGTGATCACGCGACATTCCATAAACCCGAAAATTCACGCGAGTCACGCACACAACGCAGCGCCATAAATTGCTTTGGAAATAAAAACCTTCCGAATCCGAAAGAAGCAATGTGCTCAACTTACCTAGAGCGAATTCTGATAACACCATGCTTTGATATACAATCGGTATCGGCATCTTGAATTTTCCTAAACGTCTTTTGCGTGGTGTAACGCAGCCCTCATCACATATACAAGATTCAGTAAGCTCTGCTGCTTCTTTTTGAAAGAAACAGAAGGGATGGTGTTGGATAAATCGTGTACTATCGAAGTATACTCACTTTAACCCTAAAAGACAAATTATCTTGCTAAGCATATGTGGTTTTCGTGACCAGGGACGGTACGTATCAATCGGTCCGGGTAAGGGTTCCCATTCAGGCAGTATCCTTTCATAGCTCGGTGCTCTGAAAATCTGTATTTTTTTGGGTTTTCCAAATGCAAAAACTACCCTATTGTTTAACACTAGCTGGCTTACCTGGCTCCGCCGTATGTTCCGAATAGAAAATTCCATTTCTGAACCGATCCGGACCAAACTTGGCACACATACACTATGGGCCCCGGCGGGTGTCACAGTCCGCTTTTCGTTATCGATCGATGTCGATTTTATCGATTTTTTGCAAAATTTGAGCCGGGGTTGGAATTTGGCAGAGGGGTGTAATCGAGCATGCTGATCACCCCCACGGGGGTGATCAGCATGCTCATTACCCCCCCCCCCGTGCCAACTCCCACAAAAATCGATAAAATCGATATCGATCGATGACGAAAAGTAGCCTATGACACCCGCCGGGGCCCGTAGTGTATGTGTGCCAAGTTTGGTCCGGATCGGTTCAGAAATGGAATTTTCTATTCGGAACATACGTACAGACAGACATACAGACAGACAGACAAACAGACATTCAGCTTTATATATAAGATAATGAATAGCAACACTGTGCTGTATAAACTGAGATTTTCGGCATTTTGTATGATCCTGAACGAGATTATACAATATACCAATGTCAGAATCCGTTACCTGCCAGTAACTAGCTCTACTCTTCAGTTGCTGAAATCCGCGAACTTCGCGGAGTATTCGAAATACAGGGTGTCCCAAAAGTATGTATACACTGTTTGATCGTTGATATCTCTTTTCCCAAGAAGTCTTTTGCTTACTTCTATTTAAGCATCAGTAAAGCTGGCTTCAACTTAGATTTACAGTATGGAGCCAATCACCGATCGCTCTTCATTACTGTAGGATTAGGGTAGAAATTCAAGAAGGGTTGTGAGCCATTAAGGACCCTATTTCATTTCAGAAGCAAGCCGAACAACCAGAAGACTTTCATGCTAGACCAATAGAAGCTGCTAAAACCAAATATGATGTTTGCACTTTATCGTATCTTCATTCATAAGTTATGCCAGGTAGGCCGCAGTAGATGTTATTAGACTCCATAAAAGCGTGATCAC